TTTGCTTAGGGAAGAATTTCCCTATAAGGCAGGTAAAAACATGAAGCTCACCTAATTAAAGGAGGTTTCACTAACAATAGTAATTTGTTAGGAAACATCCTGCAGTTTCCTGTCTTCTTTTCTAGGGCAACAGAATGTAGCAATGTTCACGATAGATGAGAGTCTCTATTCTTTAAAGTAGGAGGACAACTGAGATGGAATGGTGGGAACTGGGAAAAACACAGCACTTTAGCACCATGACACCACAGGCATAGGGAGATCAGTTTTAGAAAAGCACACATGAAAGTTAAGATCTGGGAAAGAGTGCTTTGGGGTTCTGTGTGTATCCCAATTTGAGGAGCAATGGTTCAGGGGTAGCAGAGCTCATTTACAGAGAAAGAAGTTACAAGAGCAATCTTCTGTTAAAACTGCAGACTGAGATCCATAGAAACAACAGCTGTAGGAAAATCAGATGGAGTATAAAGATACTTAAAGAAATGTGGGTTTAAACAAATTTCACCAGTAACAAGATATTCAGAAATGGCTAGACCCATATGGAAAATAATACCCATAAACAAAACAAAACAAAACAAAACAAAAGCAGAAACTATCCAGCAGTAAAACTGAAAGTGGAAACTCAAGAAAGGGGTTGAATAATAGAAAGGGTAAAGAGAACCCTAAAGAAATAACACTAGAGAAAGAGATGAGGAATAGATAGGAGTAAGAGACACGATTTTCCAGAGAATCAAAGAGCAAAATGGCAGTCTACTGAACTGAAAAGTGGAGAGCATTTCTTGAGGTGCAAGGTGATATGCAAATGGGGAAATGACCAAGTCCAGTGGATTCTGTCATCCAAGTGCTCCAAGGAGGATGTAGTTGAGTTTATCCAATACAAGGATTTTCTGTAAAAATTCAGTGACTGGCATGTATGTCGTGGTTACAAACTGGTACCTCTGATTGACAGATTACAATCTACCAATTTCAAGTTGCTTTTTAAAAGATTACAAAGCTGATTTTTTTAGAAAGCTGATTTTAAAGAAATTACAAAGAAATCATCTAGTCCTTCTGGTCTCCATTCATAGGACACTCCTTTCAAGAACCAGGGTAGAATGGCCTAATTCTAGAGTTTATTTTAATAAAGCATTTGTTCCTAGAATTGTTTTGGACCAGTCTTCCTAAGCAGCAAGCACTTAAGCAACTGAGACTCTCTGAAACGATTTATCAAGTCATTTTCTCAGAGTAAAGTGAAGAGTTATAGAAATGAAAAGCTATATTCCTAACGCGGGTTACTTTTGATTCAAAATCAAGCTTTCGCTTCTTAGCAAGCCACCATCTCATGGTGGGAATCCTAAATTAAATTAATTTGGGGAGCTGTTACTCAGGAGTCCTAGTGACAATAGGCTGCTGTCTAAGAAACTCAAAGGGGCAGTCCTGCTCCATCCTGCAGGCTCACTATAAACTGGAGTTGACTGTATGGTGGGGGGTTTGTTACTCAGGCAAAGTGCAGTACACATGTAATCAAAATTCCAATAGATAAAATTAAATATTTGAAAAGTTAATAGAAGAGTTATATAAAAGTTATATAGAATTTTCCAGAATTGATGAAAGGTTCAAAAGCAAATAATAAGAGCTTAAGAATACTTGACCACCGAAAGACAGAGTGAAAAATCACACTGATTGGAAATCATTGAAAACATAACAAGGAAGTAGACTATGTAGAAATGACAAACAGCACAATAAAAAATAGACAAATATACACTTCAAAAGTGAGGCGCAAATGGATAATTAACATATGAAAAGGTGACCAACTTCATTAAGATCCAAGGAATTGCAAATTTTACTCCAGAGAGGCACCATTTCATAACCAATAATAAGTAACCATTTAAAAGTCAAATAATATCCAATGTGGTAGAGACATTAGAGTTCACTTAAAATTTTTTTTAAAACTCTTTCTCTACATGGTTTTAAGAATTTTTTTGTTGTTGAAAACAAGTATGTTTTTCAAGTTCCTACTGGATCTAGCAATGATAGTGTTTGTTGATGATTCTGCAGTGAGTCATTTCAGGCTAACAGGAGGCATGAGATGTCTAAGGAAACATGGAAGTACAGACAACACACAACTATCTCAAGCTTTTCTAGAGAGTTCAGCAGATGGGTTGCAACTTTTAAGACAGTATTCTAGAGAAACTTAAAAGTAAATGACACTGGTGCACATTTAGAAAGAAACAGATAAAGGGAGAAGACACATAAAATAAAAGGTCTGAGTAGTGAACAAGCAAATGCGCTGCCACCAACTTGATTCTGATTCACAGTAACCCTGTGTAGGATTTCTCTATATAAATCTTTATGGGAGCAGATAGCTTCATCTTGTTCCCTGAAAGCAGAGGTGGGTTTAAACCATTGACCTGGTGGTTAGGAAATCAGTGCCACTGTTTAATAGTGTTTCCCAAAGTGGGCAATCACTGGAATGATCCAGAGGGGTTGCAAATACAGATACCTGGATTATGGGTTACAGTATACCAAAGATTTTAACTGCCAGGGGGGTGCTGAGTAAATTTTTTTGTCCCTGAAAAGGGGTGGTAGGCCAAATAAATTAGGGAACCTCTGCTGTTTACTGCAAACCTTTACCGATGCAAATGACCTCATCAATCTCCTGCAGCGTGCCTAGATTTGAACCAGGGTTCAAATTTTCCTGGTTAGCAGTCCAAAGGAGAGTGTTATCAGAGCTCATTTCTATACAACAGAGCCCTCATAAATAAGGATTTGTTAGTAGATAGGAAAAGATGATCCTTTTACATGGTTTATTTTTTCTTATTACACCACCTAATTGTTCTAGCCATTCAGGGACAACAGCCTCCTTGTCCCTCTTAAGTACAAAAGGAAGCTCCTGCCTCAAGGCTTTGCACTTGCTATTCCCCTTAGCTAGATTACTCTTCCCCAGGTGAACAGCAAGGTCTGTCTTTCAGCCCTTCCAATCTGTCCAAATGCCATCTTAATGAGATGTCCTCTGACCATTGACTCTGAAACCCTCTCGCAGTCCCCACCAGTCTACTTCTGGTTCTCCCCAGTCCTTTCTCTGCTTTCCTGTTCTCCATAGGAACAATTACACACTACAGGGCTTTCCTGTTGTTAGGTGCCATTGAGTGAGTTCTGACCCATAGTGACCCGATGCACAACAGAAGGAAACACTGCCCGGTCCCGTGTCATCCTCATAATTGTTCTACGCTTGAGCCCATTGTTGTAGAGATGGTGTCAATCCATCTCCTTGAGGGCCGTCCTCTTTCACTGTCCGGTCACTTTACCAAGCATGATGTTCTTCTGCAGAGATTGATCTCTCCTGTATAGATTAATTACATATATATATAATTATTGTTTAACCTTATCCTTAATGTACTCCATTGACATCGAGACAATACCAACTCATGGCAACCCTACAGGGCAGAATAAAACTGGGGCATCCCCAATGGTTTTCTGAGACTGTCTAACTTTACAAGCATATCTTTCTCTCCTGGTGATTCTGAACGGCTGAAGTTGCAAATAGCAGCCCTTCACATAACAGTCCACACCATTAGGGATCATTAAGATTGTACTAAGGGGCAGTTCATGGAAAAAAAATCATGATTTTTTAAAATTCAAATTTTCTACAAATTTTATGAAGTCTCTTGGTCTGTAAGCTCCATCAATGCAGGAACTGTGTCTCACAGTGCCTGTAATCGTAGCAGCCCAATATTTGCTGAGTGATTAAGTTATGGTCTCAGATGGGGAACCCAAAGGACAATGGAAATAACACTGTTAGCTTTGAACAAAATGACGCAAATGAATACAGGGAACTTATTGAGAAAATGTTGGGGAAGAGTCTTGAATTAAGGAGCCTAGGAGCAACGATGGGCAGTGAGCCTGCTAATTGCCAAGTTGGCAGTTCAAACCCACTGGAGACTCCGTGACAGAAGGATGATGCTGTCTGCTTATATAGATTTAAAAAGCTTTGGAGACCCTATGGAGGATCTCTCTAAGTGGGAATTGACTGGATAGTAAGGGGACATTGTCTGATGTTTTGTTTTTTTGGTAGGTGGTGAAAGAGAAATATTCCAAGAGAGTAAAGAACATGCAGATTTGAAAAGGTTTTGACAAAAGAAAATGAGGCCCATGCGGAAAATGGCAGGGCTAAAACTGAAGTGGGTGTGAACCAAACTTTAGCTAACTTTTTAATGTCCGCATCAGATGACCCTGTATATTGGGTTTCTTATTTCTAAAAACAAACAAAAACATTTTTTGAAGATTTACAGTTGTTCTTTTACCTGTTTTATTTGTAGTAAAGGGAGTATTGTGAATAACAGTATGGAAAATAGTTTGTACAGTAATACTGGAACTGCTTCCTTCACTGCAAAGGGAAAAATCCTGGACACGATTAATCAGTGTTTTTGTCAACTGGCGATTGTGTGTATCTCAGTCAATTATGGCAGGAATCAAAGGCTTAACACCACCACATATTATTTATTTAAAGGAGTCAAGACAAAAGTCTCATTGCAGGAGAGAGCAGTGTGAGGGAGAGCGGGGCAGAGCGGACAATGCCTGCTGCTGGGTTAGCAGCAGAGCCTGTTCACTGTTTTTGAACGGGCCTGCATGTGGCCCTAACTTTCACTTATCGATATTCTAGAATCGTCTTCCTTTCGTCCACATCAATTAGCATCTGTGGAGGCTCCTGTTTCACACAGTCTGAGCGAAAGCCACGAGGGGTTTGTTTCAAGATGTTTGGCTTCATGGAGTCGGCTGAGGAACACTGAATAAGCACAAGCTTATTAAGAAGCAGTGGCCACCGCGGTGCTTTGAGAATTTTGCCTTCCGGAAACATGCAAAGGGCAGGCGAGAGGGTCCAGGGCGGAGACCCAGGGCGCTCCCAGGGCGGGGCAGAGGTCAAGCTCAGGGGTACCTGGGGGCGGGGCCCGCCCCGTGACCTAGGAGCGGGGTGTGGGCCCCGGAGTGCGACTGGGTGAGGGGCGCGGCGACTCGGATAGACTCACAGTAATAGGCTACGACAGGGTCCCTCTTGTCATGCTCCTGCGCCGTCCTCAGATGATGCTGTATGCTCTTAAACTGGGGGGGCAGTGGGGGGAGCGAAGCCAGCGCGGCCATCTCCACACCAAGAAGCACCACTTCCTTACTCGCGCGCCACCGGCACTTCCGCTTCCGCCTGCGACGTCCCGCACAGGAGCGCGCACGGCAAATCCCGCCCTCTCTCGTTGCCTGGCGACTGAAAGTCCACTACGGGTTCCCAGTAGGGACAACCTCAGTGTTCCTGGCTCCTGCAAGCAGAGCGCGGAGAAAGCCCGGCTCCGCCGCGGTGATGCTGCATGTGTGCGGCACCAGCGCCCTCTGCTGGTAGAAGGAAGACAAGTGCATCGGTTCCCTTTTCTTGTTTCCCAGCCCCTTTGGGGCAAAAATGAAGGGTCAAAAGTGAAAAGCAGTAAGAGAAAAAATGATGTCGGAAAACTGGTTAAATGAATTGCTTTTGACATTTTTTCAGAAACAGTTTTCCAGATACTAATAGTGCCCAAAGATGCCTATTTGATCTTAAAATGTTCAATTCTTGTATGCGATGAGAAAGATGATATGCTTAAAATTTTAAATGACTAATTCCTATAGGGGCGCTTTAGATAAATTAACCAATCCTTTTCTAAGCTTAAACACTAACCACATTATCTATGAAGAAAATTGCACGAAAGTTCCTCTGTACTGGCTAGTTATATTTTAGTGATCTTTTATCTGTAGAGTGATTAACAGTTTATCAGTTATATCTTCTTCCTATGAGCAGTAGTTTTCACAATAATAAATCCAGAAAGTCATGACATAAAATATAAGCAGAATAATATTTATGAAAAACCCTTAAACCTTCGTATTTTCCTGAAGGTATTTATTGTCCTTGTAAAGCAAAAGAAGACAATTGAAAATAATGTCAAATTCAATTGATTGTTTGTACATTAGGAAGCTAAAAAGTAATGCCTTGATTTACATAAAATGCCTGAAATAATTTCCCAGTAGTGAGGAAGACTATCTTAATATAATGGTAAGTTTTTATATCAATCTTGAACATAAAAGTTATAATCGTGGAATATGTATGAGTACTTTATTTCAACAAGTAACAAGGAAAGGCATATGCATATTTTCCATAACATTATTTATTCATCTGGTGATACCCTTTCTTATTATTCACTACTAAACACTTCAGAGGAATTGTATAAATGAGTAAAATAATAATATAATTGCTCTACTTTTTCAAGTGATGCAGGATGACTTTAATAATGAGTTTGCAACCGATGTGTTTCGATGATATTGTGATGAATGCAACATTATGACATCCACAAAGTTAAAGCTGCGCGCTGCAGTGGAAAGAGAAACTGTTTTATTGTCAGGAGCTTTGAGTTTGAGCTCTAGTTGTATGACTTTGGGCACAGAAATGAACCTCCATGAGACTTAATTTTCAACTCTGTGAAAAAGAGCTAATAAAAGCTTTCCTGGACTTGACCATGAAGTACAATGTCATAGGAAGTACATTGTAAAGAGACAATGAAAACATTAGTTCCATGTATATTTTCTAATATCATTGAAAATTGCAGAATGAATGAAATATACGTGCTATATTTGATTTAGAACTTCATATCACAGATAAATTTTAGACACAGGTGAGTTTAAAATGTAGATATTTTTGTTTGAAATCAAGGTGCTTACTGAACAAGACGAAACTAAAAAATATTGCCAATAATGGGGCTATGACAGCTGATAATCAGCTGGGTTGGTCATTGCCTAGTTAGAATGCATAATCTTCTGAATATGATCTCAAAAATCTCGGCAACACATAAGACTACTGTAATTACAGTAAAGGTATACATGGCGATGAGAAAAATGGTCTTTTCAAAGTGCTCCGGCACCATGCATGTTATGGTGTCATGTTTTCCCTTCAGAGAGCTAGTGTCACACAGGTACAGAGACGTTACCTGGAAACCAAAGAGGTGAATCTGCAGCCAGAATGCTATCGCCTCAAGAGTAATTCTTAGTAAAACAGAAAGGATATATGTGACGGTGTAAACGGGCTTTTGAAGAATGCATTCTTGGTCGAGGCTTTTACATGCGGCATAAAGATGGAAAATAGCTCCCGGAACCAGGACGATCACTAGTTGTAATGCCCAGAACACCTAAAGTATGTCAGACACCAGTTAAGCCAATCCAGCAGCATATAACCAGAACAAGCATTTAAACATAAGAGCAATTCACTCACTCTCATCGTGGTTACCCTAAAATGGTTAAGTATAAAAAGTGATAAAATTAATATAATGAAGGTAGTAATGGTGGACATCATTAATATTTTTTAACGCTTAAGCAGTATTTGTGCAAATATAGCCATATTTTATGGTCCTCTCCTATTAATTACTTATAATGAATCACTTAATTTTAGTAGCTACTTAATTTCCACATTCTAAATGCAGCCCTGGAGTATCATTTTCACATGAATATACCATCGGATGCCGGGGCTGGGAGAAACTGTACTAACTTGGATTCATTCATCTGGAATATACATCTAAGTAGAGAAAAATTAAAGCAATTCTTGAAATAATACCTGTTACAGACCCTGGTGGCACAGTGTGTTACAGACTGTGCTGCTCTAACTGCAAGGTTGGTAGTTCGAAGCCATCAACTGTTCCCAGGTATAAAGATGAGGCTTTCTGCTCCTTTAACGTGCTACTCTGTGCTACAGGGTTGCCATGAGTCAGAAGGGGTGAGATGACAGTGCGCTTGGTTGTCCTTGGGAGGCCATTCCTTGTCTTATCATGACATTCTTTTATATTTTAAGAAGCAAAAGTGCCTGTTGTAAAGTTGAAGTGTGTACGGAAATACTTACTTGTGGAGTGATTGGCCTGAACTGATTGTAGCAGACGAGATTGATTTCCCTCTTGTCTGGATCACAGCTGAAGTGCAGAGCCTCATTCCCATAGACTGCAAACCCCAGCACCCCAAGGAAACACATGCGGACTGACCCACAGAAAAGGGCGTGACATTGGCCAACGGTTGTTGGAGGTTGGATCTGTTACAGTTTCAGCAGGGGTGCGGGTCGGGGTGGGGGAAGAACAAGAAAATAAGAATATCAGAAGGCAGTTTCACACCAAATGTCCACGAACATACTTTCAAAATTTAGAATTCATGGAAGTCCAAGCAAGGGAGACCCTAAGAGATTAAAAAAGCAAATGCAATTCATGCTTTAGCAAATTGTTCATCCCTCTTCTCCCTCTTAAAATATGAAGTGTAGCAGACACTTAGGGACGTCTTATCAACTAAGTGATATTGGTGAATTTTGCCAAAAAGCATTAATTTGATTCACATTCCCTGTCACTTTTTTTTGCAACAAAATCACAGGAATCTTGAACTTCCTAGCAATTCTGTTAGAGACTTAGATAACAAGGCCCATGTTATATATGCTACCTTAAAATCCCCGTGACATTTCAGTAGTATTACTTGTCATGACAGCCTATTTCTATGTCTTCTCTTTTTCATGGAAGTGAGAGAGGAAGCGATTTTAAAATACCATCACCTAAAAGCACTTCCTGAAGTCCCTTCTTTATGGTTCTAATTTTTGAGGATTTTGATGAGTACGTGGTTGAGGTTTACATTATTCTCCATACGGAGTGTGTGAGTGTTTCATGCAGAGCAGGCTAAACTACCCAGACAAGAGTCATACCATCGACTTTTTACCGGTACCCCCATAGAACTTACACATCCTTCATAGAAGTTCTTGATGTAATTGAGAGACATGCCTCAGGACACGGTAGCCTGGCATTGGTGTGGGTTCTTCCTCCCCTCCCGTTGCCAGTTCGCTCCCTGGAATCTGGCTCTTATAGCCTCTCATGGCGCCTACAGCAGAAAACACAAATCGCTGGAGATTTCTCTCCCCACCTACTCTTTGTCTGGCTTTTCTTTCATAAACCTCTGGGGCCCCAGCCGACTTTCCGATTTCTGTCCTCAAAGAAAACAAAAACAAAGACACAAAAGCAGAGAGCATGAAGTAAGCCCAATAATCCCTCAACTCGTGCCGTCAGCATGGCCAGCAGGCCGTCAGTCACAGAGTGCCAGCAAAGCACGTGGCAGCCGGACACGGGCCCTCCACCTCTCCACACCAGTGCTGGAGAATGGCTCATTTCAGGACTGTGTCAACCCGTAGGCTCTTTAGCTTGACCCTCTCTCCTCTAATATCCAAGTCATCTATTACATTTTAAAAGGTTCATTATCTAAGGGCAAGCCAAAGAGTATTACTTAAAGCTATACAACATTATTATACAAAAATATAAACAGTGATGATACCGGTACTAGACCAAGCCTCCGTCTAGGTTCATACACTCTGGAAGATGTTTCCACATCTGTAACCCCTACTAGGAGAACTCTGTGTTCTTCTATTCACACCACCTCACAAAGGCAATTCAAGCATCTTTGAGGGACTCAAATCATGTTCCTTTCAAATACTCTTTAGGAAATCGGAAGGGTTGCGATCAGGGCTGTAGTATGGATGGAATAAGATTTCCCAACAAGATTCTTAAAGGACAGCCCTTGTTACCCTGGAAGAAGGATGGTGCATTGTCACCACAGGAAAATGAAAAAAAATCCTTTCAAATGGTTTTCCTGGTCTTTTCCTCACTGATGCAGTTTTCCATTCCATTAAAACATCTTCGTAATAAACTGCTTTTGATGTCTTGCATCCTTTAGAAAATCTCTCGATATCACCCCTTTGGAATCCCAGTGAGCACTGCCATAACCTTTGGCGCTAAACTCTGCCTTGAATTTCACTGGCCCAGCAGATCCCCCTGGAAGCCACTATTCTGGTGGTATCACCAGCATGGGACTAAGATAAGTAGATTACTGAGCGAACTCATCAGTAGCCACCCACTGATCTCAGATACATTTTTAAACACATTAAAAACAACGACGACAAACCCATGCACGTGTGAACCGGAATTCGCTGAAATAGAGAAAAGCAGCAGTACTTTTTGAATTGCCCTCCCGTGTATGTACACGCGTCATATATTGATCATTTCCATTGTTTTGCATATGCAATTCAGTGACAGTAATTATTTTCATCAAGCTGTGCAACTACTATTCATCTGAAAAATTCTCTCTCATCCTTTAACAGAAGCTCAGCACCTGCTAAGCTCTGACACCTTGCCTGTGCTTTCCTATTTTTATTTTGTGTCCATCTAGGTGTGTCTCAAGTCTAAGAAATGATAATCCTGACTCTGATGACTGTCCATCACTGGGTAATATCAGTGTATCACTACATTTGCCCTTTTGATGAATGCTTGTAACAGGCATGGGAAAATCATGAATTAGGCTTCAATGATGAAAAAGTCATTAGAGACTGTAATTAGACCAAATCAAGCATAAATCATGTTAACAACCCTCCTCTATCCTATATATTATCCTTCAATAAATACATTAACTTCTATACTTTCAAATGGGTATTGAGGATGAATAGGGATGACCAGGACAGACAGGTGACATTATCAGGTAAAGCTTTGGACAGTCCTTCAAACCCACCGGTTGGCCTGTGAGAGGAGAGGCAATTTGCTCCTGTAAAGACACCACATATCGCC